GATGCCTCCAAGACGTCTATGGGCAGAGCCTGAAGGCAACACCCCTCCCTTGCTATGCCCCCCCCCCCAGCTCCTGTTATTCAGGGCCATGTTTCCTCCGAATATGAGGTTCATTTAACCATCAAAGCTAATAGCCCCTGGGAGACTTCTCCTCTTCCTCCTCTTCCATGAATTTGTCTAATCCCTTTTGAAAGCCATCTATCCCAGTGACTGCCATCGCACCTTGTGGCAGAGAATTCTGTAAAATTCACTGTGCAATTTGTCTGCCTCAAATCTACTGCCAGTCAATTTTACTGGATGAACTGTAGTTCTAAGTGCATCTAGTCCATACGTCTGCTGGAACAATGTTCCATTCTGCCTATCCCACAACCATCAGCAAAGCAAAATCAACAGGCTATGACAAAACTCTAGGGCCAATTGTATTTAATCACTCAAGTCACCTTTCATGTTTTTTCCTTTTAATAAAAAAAAGACGGTATAAATATGAATCAATTTTGTGTGTGTGTCTTTAAAAAAAATTATGTATTTTTATCTGCAGTTTCAATGAACGCTTATACACAGAGTAGGGATTCTAAGTGTTGTTGAGGATGAAGGGGACAGCAGTTATTCTTAATTTGCAAGCAAGAGGTATGATCTTATTTTTGGATCAGTCGCTCTACCTTGCGTATATACTGTGTTTATGTTGAGATGTTAGAAATCAGCTCTCTGAGCAATTTGAGGAGAGAAGATGGATGAAAGCATCTCACCATAGTAACATGAAGAGCTCTGAATTTCTTAAAACACTGTACAAATGCCAAGTATCACTACAATTGTGCCCCCAAATCTTAAGCCCAGGATAGGAAAAACGCCAGACACAGAACTGGGAAACCGGAACTCAAATGCCTCCTCCTCTCTGAACTCATATTCTGACTTTGGGAACATCTCTTGCCTCTCCAGCCTCGGTTTGTTTCCTCGAAAATGGAAACCAATATTACCAGTTTCTGCAAGGGCCAATAGAAAGAAGGCAAAAGCGTTTTTGCTTTGGTGAAAAGCAAATCGCCAGTGACTGATGACACAAATCAGAGTTCACCAGCCTTTGGTAGGATGCTGATCCTGGACCTGTGAGCAACTTATTCAATGGCTTGTTCACATCAGCAATGCAACCCACGTCAAAGTTCAGCAAAACAGTAGAAATGCATTAAACAAAAGCCATCTCTCTCCTCTTGCCTTTCTGTCACATCTCAAACCAAACAATATATCTAGAACACCTAGATACAGTGCGGGTCTTTTGCTGGGTCTTCCCCTTCACACACACACACACACACGCGCGCGCGCGCACACACACACACACACACACACACCTTAATTCTTGCTTGACAGACACTGCTTTCTGTCTTTTATACAAAGCTGTTCAATATGTAAATACCACATTACATCACAGAAGGGCTGCTCCATATTTGGTGATTTAGCAAGCCTGCAGTACACAAAAGATCTGAAAATCCTTCCGGAAAGTGCCGGACTCACTAATCATACCTCATTCCCGTTCGGAACAAGGATGGCACGTGACGTAATGGTCAGAGCCTCACATGACGCTACAGCAGCTTAACCTACATACTATAAAGATAATCACACTGCAGTTTTGATTTTTTAAAAATAAAAAAGCCTGCCCAATCAGCATCCTTGCTGTTTAATTTCAATACACATAAAGGACTAGCCTTATTTATTCAAGTGGTGAGGATCACACAAAGCCTAAGATAATCAGAAGTTTGGATAAATGGGAGTGTTGCTTATGCAGAGCAATTCTGACATGGGGTTATGCAGGGGACAACCACAAAATAATGCATAATACAGAATGTGGAACACAGATAGTGATTGCTGCATAACTGAAGTTCACAATAGAAGTTGACTTACATTTTTAACATGCAAACCAATCAAGCCAAGCTTTTAGGAATTACAGTTAGAAGTTTAAAAGGGCAAAAAATGTGTATACTAAAAATTAGAGATAAATGAAATTAAAATAGCTAAGTTGCTGGTATCCACAAAACAGTGGATGGGAGCCTTCATATCACACAGAACTCTTCTTCAGGCAAAGCAAAAAAAAAAAGCCCAAAATTTGCAGCTATAGCTTATTTGCATTATGCCTTATCTTGGAAAACTTACACCTGAAGAAGAATCCTACAAAATCTGAAAACTTGGATCTGGCTGGCCTAGTAAAAAGTATTTATTTGCTTGCTCTGCCTCTTTGTTTGTTCAGAGGAAGTACAAGGTTTTAATAACGTGAGGGGACATGCAAGTTCTACTAAAGATGCATACAAAAAAGATCTGAAGAAAATAATGTATGTGGTGATTTATCCATATAAGCCATTTAGTACAAAACTTCATTCAAATTCAGAATTCCAGCAAACTGCAAATGGACGAATTAAACATTGTGGCTTTTTGGATGCTTTGAAGTTGGCAATCACTTTCAATGTTCGTTGTGTTCTAACTCTGATGAAAAATAACGATTTCGGCAATAAAATCTAAGCACTGCTTCCCATGCACGCTCACTCAGACACACGCTATTCCACTAAAGAAAACAACCGACTCTGCAAAACCTGTGTGCACACAAATGACACTTAAGTTCCAATCTTAGCGGCCCCGAAACCTAAACTGTAATGTTTAGAAAGATAAAATTTCAAAAATGTGACAAATTTTGATGCCTCAACTATGTTCCAGAACTATTAAGATTATTTTAATTACTGTATTTTAGGTCGGGGGGGGGGGGAGGAACTGAGAATGTCCTTCTGTTCCTACATTTGAGATGGGGAAAACGCCAGGCTACTTATGCTGCTGTAGCCCTACCAACTTTAGACAGGACTATGCCAATTTAACTGGACTTTGAACTGCACCCTTACTTAGCCAGAGAGAGAGAGAGAGAGAGAGAGAGAGAGAGAGAGAGAGAGAGAGAGATTGTGTATAAGGCCAGATGGGGCAGGGAGATGCAATACAGCATGTGATTTACACACAGTCCTTCTCCTAATACCACAATATCCCTTAGGCTATTAAAACAAGAGCACAAGTGATACTTTATGCTAACTCTCCCAGCCTTCCCTTTTACTTAACAGATCTATGTCATTTCTGATGCTGCATATTTTTAAAAGCAGCCTCCTCCTCCTCCTCTTTAAAGGGATAGCCGCCTTTTGCCAACTGTATTGTAACAACGAATAGGGCCCTTATTAGCCAGGCGGAATTAACGGATCTCATATTAACATCCAAACATATTTTCACTTAATTTTATTTTTATGAAACACACACATACATGCAAATGCTAAAGCGCTTTGCCAGTAATTACAATTATAGATGATAGATAGATAGATAGATAGATAGATAGATAGATAGATAGATAGATGATAGATAATTAGCTGCAGGGAACGACATCCATTACTTTTATTTTCCCTCCCCCCCCCCCGTTTAATTACGCATTGGGATTTGTGCCACTGCCCAGGGGGGGAAAGCCAATCCACCTTGGACATTTGTATGGGTGGCATGTGGCGGTGTAAAGCCTCTGAAGAAAATCAAGATACATCTGTCAAAACCACATCAGAGACAAGAGACAGCGGGAGGGGGGGGCATTTATCATTTGGCTGAAGAGGCAGGATTGCAAGGAAGCAGGCCTCCTCCCCTGTCAAACCAACCTTTTGAAATTTCCAACGTGCCCTTAAACTTTTCGAATACGTGAGCCTGCGCGCCTCAGCAACTGCCCTCTCTACTCTGGCCTGGGCAGTGGAAAATGGCATCTTAAAGTCAAGGTCAGCCGTGTCACTTCGCCAAGGGGCTGCCTTTAATTACAACCCACTCCGTGACAGCCAATATGGATCGGAGGCTGGGGAAGAAGTTAACCCTTCCTCCTCTACACACACCCTTTGCAAGCCAGAGTTTGCACACACACACAAAAAAAAACCCATAATTAAAAGAAGAGAAAGGAAAGCAACCGGCTCTAGCAGACATGAGGAAAGCAGCTACAATTAAAAAATAATAATGATAGAGCAGGCCTGTGGCATTCGAATGAGTTTTTTTGGCACCCTGGAACAGACCGTTGTGATCAGGCTGAGGTTTTAGCTATCTAAACACTTGGGGGGTGGGGGTCCCCCAGCTTCAAATGTGCATTGACAGGCTGGCACTAACAAAGCACAGGCTTCAGAGACGGTTCCAACTAGAAGGCCAAGCAAGCTTTTCCATCCCTCTCTGTATTGTTGCTTAGTGGATTTGTGGAGATGGAAGTGAGGGGAAGGAAACCTCATGGATCTCTGGATCCAAGAGAATCACAAGAATAACTGAACCAGGAGCAAGAGGCCAGGTCTGACCCTATAGTCCAAATGTATAGTTGACAAAGGAATCGTTTTTGCACAGCTGTGTTGGGGTTATAGCGGGCATTTCACACAACAAGCAGATAAAATGCAGCAGAGAGACCCACATCCCTTAAACAAGCAAGGGGCAGCTGCCAATCAGGTCTCCCTAGCACGTGTTTCCTGCTAGAAGCGTTTCCTGCTTCTGTCCCGCCACGTTTACTGCACAAAACATTTGGGTCAACACCAGTGTGACCACATTAAAACACGACTGTGACATTTGACGCTGCAATGGCATGTTCCCACCTTGAAGTATGTAGGAAGGCATCAGTGGAAATGCAGACACAAAGACAGGCTATTGGGTAGAGGGGCAGGGAACCTAATCCTCATATACTCTCTGGATGACCACACCTGGAACAGCCAGCAGGAGTCAAAAGGACAGGTGTGGGAGTTGAAAAGAAAGCAACTGGAAACTTAACTCAATGGTGCAGCACAGGAATTGTGATTTTAGGAAGGTATGTGTGTGTGTGCATACTTGACATGAACATATTTATCTTGTGAACTGCCAGGTGAAATTTCAGAAAAACAGGCCTCTTACTAAACTTCTAGATTTCTAATAGGAACCCCCCCCCAACAACATGCTGGTGCTTTCTCCCACGTTCCCATTCTCCCCCCCCCCCCATCGCTTCGATTTACCTGCTATATGTTCCTGTTTAGGGCAAATTCCTCTAGATGACGTTGACAAACAATCGTCATCCTCGGGTGTGACCTGGACGCCAACCTCCACGGGATTGGATGCTTTTCGCAGCTCGCTCGGCGAGGGCGAAGGGGGCTTATCCACAGCCTTCTCTAGGCAAAGACTGCCATTGCATTGCTTCCGTTTGTGCTCAATAAAAATAAGGATGTCCCCCAAAGGAAAGTTCATCTGACACTGGCCACATGTAAGGAGGTCGTGGTCCCCTTCTGGAACTCCCAACGTACCATGATCTGGTTCGTCATCCGTGAGAATGGCTTCGATAGGTTCGGCTGTAGTCAAAGGAAGAGAAGAAGACAATGGTCAGGAACCTTGTAGGAACACAGACAGCTTAAACTGAGTCAAGAGAACTGGCCTGTCTAGCTCAATACTGCCCACACTGACTGGCAGAGGATAATTAGAAGTAGAAGAAGTAGAAGCTAGGCTTAGAGACAGGGGGCAAGTGGCATGCACTGTCCTTGAACACAACAGACCAAACATTGCAAAAACCAGGAAAGCTGAAAAGTTGTGCTATCTCACCTCCCAAAATCAGCAATAGTGCTATGGGTATTTTTAAATAAAAGATTATCCGTTGTGTTCTGAACAGCAGTCATTCAGGAATAAGAGGCACTACATTAATGTCATTAAGACCCTTCCATAAAATAAACTTCGGGGGATGACACACCACAGGGGCATGGCATGAAACACAACCCCATTTTTTTAAAGTTTTCTTTTGCTTTTTAAAAAGACAAACAAGATAAAGCCAGTCCAACCCCGACCGCAAGACAGCAAAAGAGCTTCCTCTTTATAGCATGTTGTCATTCAACAGGAAAACGAATTTATCAGCGATGTCAAGCAGTCCCATCAGAAGCAAAAGAAGCTATAATGAATTATGAGCAATTCAGACTCCCTCTCCCTCTGTTTTTGTTACTCTCTCTCTTTTAGAGGGCCCTGAAAAAGCTGCTTTTTCCAGATTAACAATGAATGAATAATCTTAAAAATCACCGATTATATGGTTATTCCTGTTCTCCAAAAGTGAGGCTAAGAAAGTTATCTCTTTATATTCCCATGCACATTTTTATTTTATTTTACTGAAAATCTGCATGTGTGCTTACACTCTTATATCTTATGTTAGGGATGGTATGTGTTTGCTTTACGGTGCAGGTATGCATAAACATGCATGTACATGTATATTCTAAGAAGGTATCATCACAAGATGATGAAAAAGGCTTGCTTGAGCGTCTGACAGGTGGCACACAGCACCCAAAGAGCCCTACATTTTCCGTAGGGACATTTCTGTGCCACATATATACAGGTACATGCAGGAATGCAGAGAATAGCCAAGAACAACTCTCTAAAATAATCCAACAAACAGAAAAATCAAAGGTAATCTGTAATGATTCTATAAATTGACCTACTGTATTATTATTGTCGTGTTTTCTAAAAGTGATTTTCAACCACACCACCCATATTTTTATATCCAAATATATATCTATGAACAATTGCTCCTTACAATTTTGAGAAATTGAAGATCTAAGAAAATAAGCCAATTAGCCTGAGGTAGGATTTACACACACACACACACACACACAAACACACACCCCCAAGAAAGGAATGCCCCAATCATTCAGAATGTATTAACACTGCTGGCATTGATAAGGTAAAAATCTGTATACTGTAAAGACAACTAAATTCCAGCTTTCATAACCAGAGTGGTTAAGTCCTTTCTTTAGATTTGAACAACCTTTCCTAATGTTGTCAAGAGTTGATTAATTTCCTGAACGAGCTCCAGAAAGCTCCATTAAGAGCTTGTTTCTGCACACACTATTGCCAGTGGATAGTTTAACAAGGCAGATTCATATTAGTAAGCTCTCAATCTCAACTCCTTTTTCTTTCTTTCTTTTTTGTTACTTTCTGCTGGCAAAAAGAGTCTTTCAGAGAGAAAGAGAAAAATCTAGTCCAGAGTGTATTTCTCTGGATCTACGAGCCAGGACTTACAACTACAAACATGAAATTGTGTCCTTACAAAACATCAAACGCAGCTAGTTAAGGAAAGTGTGGCAGGATGCAACACCTCAACAGTTAATCAGCCTGACCTTCTTTAGCATGCGGCCAATTTCACGTTTAATGAACTTAAAGCCACAGAGAATCAAAAAATAGATTTTTAATTTGACTGCACCATATTGGAACAGATTTTGATAAAGTGCATGAAAAAATTACAGCACACTCAGGTTAAATTTATTTCAGTCCTATCTAGGTAGAGTATTTGGAAGAAGGGGGAATCAAGAGTAATTCCCAACCATGCAGAAAAGCGTAATATTTTAAGAGACTGCAGCCCTCGTATCTGGACTCCAAATAGTACCCTACAGATACAGTCTCTCTCTATATACATATTTTGCCTCAAGCTTTGCTCCTAATTTAAGATAAGGTCAATTACAGAAATATAGAGGTTAGGTTTTTACTTATACTGTAAATTCTCCTGTACAGAGGTTTCATATCAGATCCTTTGACCATAAAGAGTACAGTGACATAAATAGTACACTGACAGAATCATGTGTGTTAGTATTTAATAGTCCAAATGAGAGAAAATGGAGAATATGGGTGTTTCTACATCTGCGATTTTTAATTTTATTTCAGGAGAAAGATTATCAGGCTGCCTTTTTACAAAGTGGCAAGCGACACAAGGCCATGTTCTCCCTTTGAAAGACACTTAAAACTTGAAATAATCACCATCACTACCAACCCAGTTGCAAACTTCAGAGCACAGTCTAAGCAGCAAAAATGTCAGAACAATTAAATATTTCTCAGCGACAGCAACTTCTCCCTAGCAATTAGAAAAAAACTGCAATATTTTAGGCCTGAAGTGCTTGTGAAATTAGTAATATGGTTTAGCAAGGTGAGACAGAACCTTTTTTCCAGGCAGTTAAAAATCATGCTAAGTAATGGGCATTGAAAGAGATTTCTTGTGAAGCCCATGAAACCGGTTGAATTCTCATCAAAACCAGTAAATGAAGAGGCAGCTGAAAAACATTGTTGATTACACCTCTGCATTCAGCCAATTAATTTTATAGGAGGCAAAGTTCTTGAAAATAACAAGATATTCAAATGTACAGATATAAAACCCATACCCTGCACATATTTTCGGTGCTCTTAACATAAATGATTGCTAATTAAGAAGAATGATAGCGTAGTGTTTGAAACAGGATTGGCACAGAGCTTGCTCCAAAAGCTTTCCTAAAGCAGAGAAAGCATGGTACAGTATTGCTGTTATTTGAAACCAGGTGCAAAACACAAGCACCTAATTATTTATTATTAATTCTTATTATTATTATTATTACTGCTAATCCTGGTTTGCATGCTAGTTTTTTTTCCCAGTGACCACCAGTTCCACTATATTTTGTGCATTTGATTTTTCTGCTCAAATCAATGGATCCTCAAGAAAAATAGGTATCTTAGCTGCTGTTTATAAGGAGTTGTTGTTGTTATTATTATTATTATTATTATTATTATTATTATTATTATTATTCCTCAGTATTTCACGGGGCCATGCTCTCCAAAGAGCAGAAGGGAGGATAAAAAAGAGGAAAGAAAAACAAGAAGGCATGTTCCTGATTTATTAATTTTTTAAAATGTGCCTTTCATTTTCAAAAAATGGATCTACAAGGAACAAGCAATGAAACCTCAACCAGAAACAACAGAGAGAAACTGAACACATAGCACCCTCCAAAAAGATGTTTTAAACAAATATATATTAAAAAAAATAAAAATAGAATTTGGTCACCCAGATTCAAGTTTGCTTCCAAGGGAATGCTAGGATTAGTTTAGTGGTTTGAAGAAGCACATGAAAGCGGAGCTGGAGAAGTGGAAGGAGGATGAATTAAAACACGCACGAAAAAAGAAAAGGAGTGACCGTGTAGTATTGAGGTGAACAGAGATCTGGAAGCGAACTTGGGAAAGAGCGGAAAACACAATGGGGAGGGGGGAGAAGTGCTAGGCAGGGAAGCCTCATCTGCAAACACGTGCAAGACAAGCCAAGGTATTTCCTGGCCTCCTTGACTGGGGCCAGCCGTTCTCTTTTGGATCTACTTTAAAAACAAAAACCCAGCTCTATTTATTTTCAAAAGCAGCGATCAGCTTTCAAATAGGGTCCGGGGAAAGGGAGGGGGCGGATAACAGATCCCCACCAAGCCACCCAAACAAAAGCCAGGCCAAAGAATCAAAAAGTCGCCGGGAAGAAAACATGCTGGCACCTTTGCAGAGTTTGCCTTCTTTAACAATCTAAGGTGCATCTGTGGGGAAGATTTTAACATATGTCTTGGGGAGGGGTGGTCTCACACTGCTTGCTCTGTACTTAAGTGTTTTATATAGGACATGTTTAATAAGAGGGTATGACAGGGCAAATCCAAGTGTCAAAGGATCAACTATTTCCCTCTTTTTCATTTCGCCGTTTTGTGTTTTTTCTTAACGTGGGCAGGCGGCGGGAGGATTTCTCTGGAGTGGGAGTGGGTCTCAAAGGAAGAATGAAAGCTTTTAACTGATATATTCTGGAAGGAGGACTGTTTGCAAAGGGGCAATTTGGAAGCTTAAGCATTACCCTAAGATAAAAACTAAAGACAAAGAAGGAGGAGTGGAATGATTGGGTGCAGGAGGGAGAGAAGGGGGAGATCTCTACACACTCACACGCGCACCCCACCCACACCTTCTTCCTTTGCCAAACGAGAAATGTAGAAAATTAAAAGATGGGAGCAAAACGGATCAGGTTCAAGTTCGCTGGGGTTTCTTGATCTGACTCTGCCTCCTAGTGGCCAAAACTTGCATTTTTAAAATTAAAAAAGGCAAGGAATTGTTTTAACTCCACTCCCACACAGATCGCGCCCCCCCCATCTCCTCCTTTTCCACCCTGTGCCCCAAGGCTCAGAATTGGGGGTGGGGACAGGAAAAGCAAAACTTGCATAGCAACTGTACTTAGTGCCCCTAAAACACTCTCACTCCCCTATATCATTTAAACAAACAAACAAACAGGTTGCATTTTTGTGTATGTGTCTATTCGTTTTTTAAAACTGTTAAGATCTCTAGGAATTTGGTGTGGGTGGGGGATTTAAGGTGGGGGGTTTAGTTTGCAAATCTTGAAGTGGGGGTGGTTCCACGGGGGAAAGACTCCCCCCCCCAAAAAAAGAACCGTTTTGCTCTTTCTTTCCTCACCCCCCCACTCCCACCATGGTATGTTGGAGATAAAGAGTCAAATTAGGTTATCAGTTTGGCTGAAGGAAGGGAGAATCTCGCAACGTGTTTGGGTGGCGATAGGACGTCCTAAAGTGTGACAGTTATGTTGCAACACACAACGCACCGTTCTGCATCTTAAAAAAAATGTAAGAAATCAGCAGAAGAGGGGGTGTGAGATAGAACAATAATCTGCGGAGAAGCTCTTAAAATACATCTTCTTTAACCCATGCAATTTGAGAGGGGGTGTTGCTTTTAAAATCTATCGCTGGGTCACTTCAACTAAGCGTATGTGTTGCAAAAGCGATATTTGCATTGCAATTCAGACAGAGGTTATGGATGGGGGGGGGGATACAATACAAACTTTTGCAAAAGCCCGGGAGGGGGCTTTAATCTTGCAAATTAGAAGAGGAAAGGGCAACAAAACATCTCCCCTGCCTTCAAAAAAAAAAAAGGATGCAAATTTCTCTCTTTTGCAAACACTACTTGTACATTTCATCTCTTCCTCTCTTCGCTCCCCACCCCCCACACCTCGCCAGCCCGCCTTCAACCAACCATCTCAAGTCCAGACCAGACTTCCCTTTTGTGTTTGCTAGCAAGCACGGCTCAAGCTTTTGTGCACCGCTTGGCTGGGAGAAAGGAAGCCTGTGCGTTGCAAAAACAACAACACACCATTAAATAAATATCAGCATTTAAATAAAAAATAGGAGGGCGAAAAAACCCTTTTGGTACTGAGTTGTCCAAGATTATTATTATTATTATTATTATTACTCTTGGTAATCATTTTCCCATTGTGATCAGAGACAACAGGATCTAGCCTTCTGGGTTTTTTAAACAGAAAATCTATATAGCTTGCATTTGTAAGCCTCTCTCTCTCTCTGCGTATACGTTGTATTCATTTCCCCCCTTTTCCAAAGCCGTTTCTTCTCCTGCTCTGTTTTCCTGGCAGCGACTCCGCAGCACACGAGGCGCTTGTAAACATTCAGACACGAGATTTTTCCCAATCAAAATCCACTTCCACTTTTTTTTTCTTTTTTTCTTGAAAATCTTCCAAAAAATAGTACGAGGAAGGGAGAGGAAGGGAATTCCTCTCTCTCACACATGCACACGCTGCGATCTTTCTCGCCTTCTTCGCTCCATGCATGCAGAAACCCAAGTTTCTGCAAAGCAGGAGTTTGGGTGCTGAGGAGGGAAGGGGGAGGGAGGGGGTGAAAAAAGACTGTTGGTAAGAGCTTGGGGGGCGGTGTTGTGGAGGAAGGAGAGCTTAATCGTGGCGGTAGAAGCAGAGAAAAGCAGCCGATCTCCGGCCCAAAACAGACACCACGTCTGCCCTCTTCGTTGCCCTTTCGCTGTGCGGAGCTTGGCGGTGGGGGGAGAGAGAAAGAGAGAAAGGAGCGGGACACGCAGCGAAGGGTGGGGGTGGGCGATCTCCCACCACCCCAGATCTCGCCAGTGGAGACAAAAGAAGCAGCGAGAAGGTCCCCCCTTTTGCACCTTTTAGTGTCTACAAAAAAGGGGGCTCCACCGAGGGAGCAAAGCGGATTTGAAAAAAAGGGGAATGTCTCCTTCTATGACAAGGCGCCCCAAGAGTTCCTAATCTCGATCTCTTTGCCCGTGTGAAATGAGAGCATCGAGTCCCGATTCAAACTGTACACATCTCTTTTTCTCACTTTTTCCTCCTCCTTTTTCAAAAGCTCGCCTCCCCCCACCCCACCTCGCAAGCACACAAAAATGTGTCTTTGCTCGCTTGCTTTAAGTTGCAATTCATTTGTAAGCTGCAGGCGCGCGCGCACGCACACACACACACACACTCGCGCTCTCTTCCGGCAAAATATAGCCGAAGCAACTGGAAAAAGAAAGAAGAAAATAAACGGAACTTTGAGAGACAGCGTGCTTGCCAACATGAGCTTATTTGAAAAGTAATCTAGGTGGTAGCGAATAAAAAGAGGGGGGCTGAGTTTTAAGGTGAGTTGCTTTTTGTGTTCCTTGCAAACTAAAAAAATGCATGCACAAAAGGTTGGAATTTGCAAAATGCAAACCAAATGTAATTATTTTATATATATTCTATATCTTGCAAGGGAGAGGGAGGTAGAAAGGAAGGAGGCGAGAAGGTTTTACTTACGTGAAAATTCCCGTTTGCTTAAGTGCTGGGGTTTCCCTTGCTTGCGGCGAGACATCGTGGTGTTGGTGGCTCGGGCGGGCGCGCGCGGAGCTCTCTCGCTCGGATCACATCGGGAAGCGCCGGGTGAACAAGGAAAGAGACTCCAGAGAAAATATCTTCATCAATGTCTTTTGACATCCAAAATAAATTAGAAATAATACAAAGATGGCGCGGGGAAGATGAATTGTGGGATAGCAGTCATGGCTTTGCTTTTTTTTCTTTTGCTTTTTTTTCCTTTCTGTGCAAGAGGGAGAGAGGGAGGAAAAAAAAGGAGAGAGAGAAAGGAGAGAGAGAGAGAGAGAAAGAGAGATGAAAAAAATGGCAAAAAGCCCCCCTGAGCTGCAAGTTCAAGTGCGGACGTGACGTCCCTACGAACTTGAACGTCAAGCGACTGGATGGACACAGACATAGAAAACATGGGCAGGGCGAAACTGGAGGGAAGGGGAGGAGGGAAGGACTGCGCCACGCCAATGGACAGTCATCGGGGGCTGGACATGATCAAGCAAAAGAGTGAGGGGGGGAGCCCGGCGCAGGGCAAGCCAATGGCCAGGGAGGGGGGGTTACCCTCCGAGGCATCAGGCACACGCGGCGGCGGCGGCGGCTGCTCCTCCGGAGGGAGGAGTGGTAGAAGACGGGGGGGGGTGGAGAGGCAGAGGGAAGGCGAGAGAGGCGTGCGTAAAGGCGCGCACCAGCCCAGGAGCAAGAGAGTGAGTGACCAAGAAGAAAAGGAGGCACGTTGGTTTCGGAAGAAAGGGAGGGGGGCCTCTTTCCTTTCTTTCTTTTTTAAATTAAGCCAGGAGGGAAATTTAAAAGCTAGAAAGGGAGAGGGGCGGGGAAAGCGCGTAAAGAGAACAAACATCTCTTAAGTCAAAAGCCACGGCAAGCCGGCGTCCCCTTTTTAAAATATTTTTCGCAGCGAGTTGCTGCTCGCAATTGACCGCGCAATTAAAAAGAAAGGGGCTTTGGGGGGAAGTGGTGGCAATCGGGCGAAGTGCGTGCCTAGAATGTCAGGGTTGTCGCGCGGGTTGTCCCTGGGGAGTTCACACGGCAGGGCCGGTGTTTGTGGGCGCGCGCCTGCCTCGCTCCAGCGGGCAGGTACACTGCTCCTAACCAGGGAGGCTCCTCCTGGCTTGTCAGGATTCGCATCCATGGGCAGCGCTTCCTCCCTCGAATTGGTCTAAATCTAAGCAAGTGGCCGTGGCGTGAATTAATGCGAAATGAAGTGCCCCACGGGAGAGATAAAAACTCCCTGGTCAGCAGGGGGTTCGAATCCTCGCCCCGCAACAGACAAAAGCGCGCACAGTTTAAAATGTCCACTTGGGAGGGAGAGGCCATGTGATAGTACATACTTTCCTGGGAGCTAGTTCTACTGAATTCAGTGGTGTTTATGTCTGAGTAGACACTGTAACCCAGTGAATACTTAAAAGCCTGAGAAGAAGCCCTACTGACAACAGCCGACTTTGCTTCGATGAAAAGATGCATAGGATCGTAATATCTTCCAGCCTTCTTGACTCCTCCATCCTAACTCACATCTGCCCCACTCCGCAGGCCAGTGACAGCCATCTTTTGCCCGGGTTTATGCATTGAAATCTTACTGAGAAAAACAGCAGCAGCAGCAATATCAGACAGGTTAGAACAGGTTGCAGAGTTAGAAGTTGACCTGTTGCAGCAGCAGCAGCAGCATTGAGGGTTCATTCTTTTGGGAAGACAATAGGATTACTCTGAAGTAAGTGGGTTGCAGATCCTGATTGTAAATGAGGAAGCAACCCTGGGGCTGGTCTTTCAGTCCCTGACAATGCACTGTACAAATATGTACTGTATAAGGAAGAGAAAATGTTTTAACTGTTGTTGTTTTTTAAAAAGCAGGGTGTCTACTATACGTATATATTTAAAAGAGGCAAAAGATTAGGAAAAAATGGAGAAGGAAATCACATTTGTGATTCTCCACCCACATTGCACTGAAGGGGGAAGACCTAATAAGTGAAGAAAAAGGGTGTAACGTTTTAAAGGTAAGAGGCAGACTAGATGAACCAGACAAGGGGGAGTTGAAATTGACGAAGGAGGGGGGAGTGCATCTGTCTCCCAGCGATTAAGCCCGTATTCAAAATGTAGAACGGTGAAAGGGAAGCACTGCTGAAGGTCAGCAAAGGACCCCCACTCCATCAAAATATTTTTTTTTTAAAAAAAAGCATTTATTTGGTGGGGAAAGGGAAGAACGAGATCCACAAGTATAGGAAAGGATAAAGTTTAGGGAAAGTTTTCTTCATGAAAAGTATATAAATTATAGAAGGAGAGGGGTTGGGTGAGAAGGAGGAAGAGAAAGAAAAGGTAAACTCTGGGAAGTGGACTTTGGAAGAAGGCGTTTGGGTTTCCCCCCCCCCCCCAATTATATTGTTTCAGGTTCAAAATGGGGCAGAGGGGGAGAACAGCAAGCAACCTTATTGAAGAACAGATAGGAAGCAGAAGATTGGGGGGGGGAGTAGAAGAAAGGTGTTGCAGCTTTATGCGTTGCACGCACACCAAAAATGCATGGTAATTGCAAGGCTAAGGAATGGTCTTGCCGAAGTATGGGCTTGGTGGATCGGATCTAAGTAATGGATGCCAAAAAAGAAAAAAGCTGCAGGTCTGCAAGAATCAAAGGGCGAGAAGACTCCGCTCAGGGCTTGGGCAAGTTGCCGAGCTAAGAAGAGGCATAAAACAGCGGCGGCGGCGGCGACGCGTGTCACTGGCCAGGCAAAGCGCGTTTCGCAAGCGCCACCCAAAGCGCTACGTACCGACTGGCCACGATCCAGCCAAAGTTAAGCAGTTGAAAGCCTCCTTGGGGAAAACGTACAGGCTGAGCCTGTTTGTGGAGAAAGAAACCCACTTGATTCAAGGGGGTTTACTCACTAGTAAGGGCGTTTGGGAGCTGCAGTCTTCGGCACGTGCTGCTGAACCAGGCCCATCAACGGGATTCAAAACTGCTTCAGGCTGCACACTGACTTAGGAACGTGCCCTGAGAATTCAGTTACGTGGATGCTTGTCTTTCGGGACTTTGGCCGGATCGTGCCCATCATGCAGCCCCCTGCATGTGGAGGCCTAATCGTACTGAAGACCCATAGAGTTCAAGGGAGACTGGGAGCAGTTCCCGCTACCGCCCCAGGCACCGACTAACTTTCTTAACACGAGGTCACCCAGGAGCTGCTGCCTCATTCACACGTTAGGCTCTCGCTCATAGGCAAGCTCATTGCTCTGCCCGCACAAACACGCGCGCATCCAGTTTCACACACTTTGCAGCACGATGGGTTCAAAGGCACAGCAAAAATGGCTCCTTCTCCGTCCTCCCCTCCGGTAACTTAATGCAAACTCTCTGTATCCCTGGCTCAGACTCACACGCAAAGGACTTGCACAAGCTCCCATTCGAGGATGGCAGCTCGCTGACACGCGGGCAGACTGAACTGACACACGCACAAGTTGCTTCTGCTACACGCCAGCACAAACGTAGGCTGTAAAGCTGTCTCTGCTTACTCGAGGGAAAGCCCCTTTGTACTCTGCATCTGAGACACCCGAGCTGTTACATCCAGAAGTGTGTTGTTTTCTGGCACAGCTTAATACTCAAGTGGCAAATTTTGCTCATTTAAATTGAGCTTAACTTCCAAGTAGTTTACAGTGCGATCCTAAGCGTGTCTACTCAGACCACTGAGTGGGACTTACACCCAGGCAAGGAGGTATAGGATTACTCTGATCCTAACCACAGCTGCAATCACACACACACACTTCTCTCCTTTGCAAAAGGCTTTTTTAAATTCCCTCTCGCACACACTTGCGCCTCCCAGAACCAGAATCTGATCGGGTTAAGACGAAGAGATGCAGCGAAGGGGGAAGAAATGGTTTGCCTTCCAAAGCGGGCAGGACTCGAAGTCAGAGGAAGGAAAAATCGACGCTCTTTTAGAGAACGCTCTAAAAGAAGACAGAAAAGCATCGGAAAGGACGGGGCTTCCAAGGAATCGATGTATCCCAGGGAAGGAAACAGAGCGGCTTGCCGGGGCTGTAAGCGGAGGTTTTATCACGCCAAATTGTCAATAATGACGTTAAGCTGCAGTCGGGGGGGGTGCGGGCGGGGAGATGAAGGGGGCTGGAACCGTCTGGGACACCGAGTTGCGGATCCAATGTTCCGTATAAACTTCTAGTAATTTAGGGAAAGAGATGGAGACGGCTGTGGAATTTATATGTTGCGACTAGCACGCATGTGTTATATGTGAGATTTGATGATGACAGTCCGGTCCTATGCATCTGTACTCTGAAGGATGCCTCAGTGGGCTTACTCCCATGTAAGTGTGCATATGATGGCGGCTTCAGGCAACCTGAGCCTCTGCATGTTTACTCGGAAGCAAGTCCCATTGAGTTAAATGGGCCTCACAAAGTGCGCATAGAGAGGAATGGATGCTGTAGTTCTGACCCAATGTTACTTGAGGTTTTTTTATTATTATTATTATTATTATTATTATTATTATTGTCATCGTCGTCATCACCGGCGTTCCCACTTACATCAGTGGGGCATTCTTTGCATGAACAAGGCGAATAAGGCTACGCTCCTAACCCGACCTACCCAGGAGTGAGCCCCATGAGATTCAATAGGTCTTACTTCTGAGGAGGCACGGTTAGGATTGCAACCTAGGGGGATCATCTGCGCCCGTTTAAAAATCAGACAAACACCGATTTGTGGGGCGAGAAGAAACTCCCGGTGTAGATCTCGCTTGGGCTGGAAGCAGACCGGCCGATGGTCACTTTCAACCGCGGCTGCTTCCTTCCTTCCTTGCAGCGCGTCTGGCGGCAGCACAGCAACGGCTCCCCCCATAGAATCGACAGGCTGGATTCTCCCGGCGGCTGAGCTTGGGACGCAGGGGAGGGGGCCTTCCTTGGTTTACCTTCTCCAGCCCTGCAGCCCTTCTTGAGAACAGGAAGACCAGGAGGCGCACTTAAGCAACAAACTGCTTTTTTAAAATAATAATAAAACATAACTATATTTTCAAAGGGCACACAGCAAAGAGAAGCTGGTCAGCACCCCCAGAGGAGCCTTTCCCACCCCCTCTCCGCTTCTCCCGTCTCTTCCTCCTCACTCTTCTGCGCTTCTCAGGCGAGAAGTGTTGGGAGTGAAAAATGACATCCGCTTGGAATGGCTCCGTGTGCGCGCGCGCGCCCCCCAGGAACGCGCATAGATAAATTGATAGATGGATGGATGGATCGATGGATAGATAAGATGACAGGAAGAAAAAGAAGCTGCAAAGCAGGCCATGAGAGGCAGTGATACAAGATGAAGAGATGCTGGGATAGAACATCAGCGTCAGAACCAAAACACACACACACACACACACACAGAGAGAGAGAGAGAGAGAGAGAGAGAGAGAGAGAGAGAGAGAGAGAGAGAGAGAATTACACAGTATAAGGTGAAAAGGGAGGAATGTCTCGACCAAATGGGCAGGAAAGGTGTTGGGAACATGAGAGGACCCTGAAATTACAAATATATTATGGGACAGCGAAAGTGGTAAAGCTCAGAGCGGAACCCCAACTGCTTACTTCATCTAGTTGTCAGTGAGATTTGCTTCCAAGTAAAACAGTGTCGCC